CCTCGGGTGACGGTGGAAGGCCTTGGAGGGAGCTAGAGGCAAACACAGCCTCTCTCCTGAGAGGTTTCAGTGAGGTGAGGGCAGGGCGGCTAGAGGGCCAGGTCTGGCGTGCGCCTGGGGCCCTTGCTCCTGTGGGAAAGAAGAGTGGATGCAATCCCAGTCTGAGGCAGCAGCACTATTCTAGTCTGTTTTCTGCTGCTTCCATAAAACACTGGCAAAAACAACTTGGGGGAGGAAAGGGTTTATTTGGCACACACGTCCATGTCACAGTCCATCATTAAGGGAAGCCAGGGTAGGAGCTTGAGGCAGAAACCGAAGCAGAGACCATGGAGCAATGCTGCTGACTGGCTTGTGTCCCCCTGTCTTCCCCAGTTACCTTCCTTATAGAGCCCAGGCCCACTTGCCTAGGGAGGACACTGTCCACCGTGGACGGGGCCCTCCTGCATCAATTACCAAACAAGAGAATGCCTCACAGAATTGCCACAGGCCAATCCAAAGGAGGAAATTCCTCAACTGAGGTCCCCTCTTCCTAGGTGTCTCTAGTTTGTAGACAAAAAATTAACCAGCAAAAGTGCCATGCTATGGGGAAACCCAGAGCCAGGGAGTTTGAGGCAGGGACTGAAGCTAGCTTAGGCTACACTGGGCAGGAGGTGGGGGGCCGGCAACCTCCACTGCATGGGTAAACCCAAAAGCCGGTCCTGGAATTCAGCAAAGTAGACGTCCACACAGAAAAACTGGGACACTGACTTTGTGCCATGCTTGGTGTGTATCAGGCTCCCAGCCACGTCTTGTAAATGTGAGGCTTCCCACATGCCTGCTCTCTCCACAAAGCTTTCTCCAAGTGTCTTTTCTTCTTTCTCAGCCTTTTATGGTGTCATTCATCCAGCAACTACCATATGTAAAATTTAATGAGAAGTGCCATGCAAGAGACCTTGATAAGAAGCTCAAATCCTGGGTTAACTTTGTCTAGAGAACTATCTGCTTTTAGCACAGATTTCTCCTGTTAGCCCCCTCTGCTTTATCCCTGTGGGCTTTTCTCTACTCCTCACAAGTGTACTGTTAGTGCAGATAGTTCTTACTGCAGATAATGTAGAACAGATGCCCTGCTAGAAAAGACTTCTCTCTAGACAAGCATCACTGGACTCAGTTAGGGTCAGGACTGACAGCCTCACTTGTTTATACCTTAGTAAAGACAGCCAGGGCCAAAGGAGGCAGAATCGCACAACCAATGTGTAGCCTTCAGCCCCACCACCCACCCCCGCACCTCTAAGTAGAGCCCCTTTTTTCTAAGAGGCTAGTGTCCTCCATGAATCAGTGTGAGGTCATAGCTTGTAGTACCCACATGTAATCCCTGTCCCCTTCCTGGCAGAACATGGAAATGAAGTCCCACTGGACCTTGCAATCCAAAAAGAACGGCTGGGTCAGGTGGAGGACTTAAGCCAGTTCCTACCTTGTAGAGAAGGGGAAGCAGGCTCCCTCTCCTCTCCCCCAGCTTTGTCTATGGCCTTGCATCCAGCCTTCTACTCCAGGGATTCAAGCAGATGTCTAGAGACAGGAAGTAACCAAACAAAGGCAAAGAAGTGACAGTGGCTGGAAATTAAGAATTCTGGCTCAGAAACATTGGCAGAGGACTCCCTCCTAGATCCACAGACTCTACAGGAAATGGGGAAGGGGAAAGCCAGGCCCAAGAACTACTCACTGGCCCCATCCTGGGGATAACACATTCACTTACTTTCCTCTGCTGTCATTTCATCTTCTGAACCACCTGTGAGATGAGTGAGGTAACTGAGTCTTAGAGAGGTTACACAGCTTTCTCAAAGATCTACTACAATCTGGCTGAGTCTGCCTGGCCTGAGTTTGCTCACAAGTGCTGGGAAGAACCCCCTATAGCTCAGTAGGGGCTCCAGTGACCTGTGAGGAACCCGTTGTTAAACTCAGGCCTAGCACCTAAACTGTGTTTACAGAGAAAGGCAGCTATGGTCTGAAGAGGAATTATTGGCCTAATGACCACACAGGTCATTCTTCCTTCCCCCTGCTTGGGTGCCTGCTTCCTTCCTAGTATATGACTTTGGTAACTAATTAGTGTGAATGTCCCAAGAGAAGTAGAATCCAGCCCATATAGGCTTCCTGGGGTCTACTCTTCTACTTCTAAAAGCTTGTCCCTGCCTGGGTATATCCAGGCCTCTATTGATCAGTTCCTGCCTTCATTTCCCTCCCTTCTGACCCATTCCTATGTTGGAGCCCAGCTCAGGGATGATTCCTCAGCTCCCTGGTCCCTGCCTGTATCCTTCTTCCTTGTGTAGTAATTTGGCAGGAATAGCTTGAGCTTTGAATTTCAGAACAAGTTCAGAAAACTAGGCTTCTAAGCATTTGAGTTCTGGCAATCCAGTGGGGCCTTAAGGTATCTTGGTTAGTATTTGCTTAGCCCTGGGAATTGGACCTTACTCTTCAGTGCCAGGGGATGGGATAGGAGCAGCATAACCACAGATAATATAGTCGAAGAAACTCCTGCTTCTGAGATGCAGTAGGAATCCTCTACAGGATTCCAGAGGGGAGAGTGCTTGAAGAATGATCCAGAAACTGACAAGAATGGAACAAAATGAAGCTGTTCAAGTATAGCTCATAGCAACAGAAGTACAGAAGTCAAATTTAACCAAGCACAAGGACCAGAGGGCCCATGTGTCATCAGTCAATGTGAACCCTGACAGAAGTCCTACAGTTGTGTGTCTGGAGGGGGGACTGGGGATGTGGCTTAGTTGGTAGAATGCTTACTTAGCACACATGAAACTATCGGTTCCATCCCTAGCACTACAGAAAGCCAGGTGTGGTGGTAAATACTTGTAATCCCAGCACTTGGGAAGTAGAGGCAGGAAACAGACACTTAGGGTCATCTTCCACTACACAGAGAGTTTGAGGCAAATTTGAGCTTCCTGAAACTCTATCTCCAAAATACCAATAATAAATAAGTAAATAAGGTTATCCAGGGGCCTCCTGAGGAAGGCACAGGGCCCATCTCACTGCTGTCACCTCTCAAACAATCCTTGCTGTCCACAGTCTGAGGTCACCACTGTCACTAATGTCTGAAGACCAGAAATAGAAATGAGTCATGGCCTTCAAATGTGCCTAATCTAATGCTTAATTTATTAGAGATGAAGCAGTGTCCTTTGGCAGTGGGAGCCTCAGAACTGCTGTGTATGGTGTCTAGGGTCCCAGCATTCACATGCTGCCTATGTAGTGTTACTGCTAGAAAACGAGGTTGTACTATCCCCTCAGTACAGCCCTGAGACTTCGTTTGGGCAGAGACATAATGGGATCAGCACTAATTATTAATGCAATATAAGCTAATTTATTCTCTTTTTCCTACAGTTTTCCAGTAAAAGGACCCCATAGTGGTTGAAGAGAAGCCCATCCCCAAGGGTGAGATGATGATGTTAAATACACACCACAGAAGGATAAATGCTCAAAGTCACTCTAAACACAATCAGAACAGCTCCTGCCCAGCATAAGCAGGATATTGGTCAAGCAGGAAGAGATCTGGTAAAATACCCATGAGCAGGAGGTCAGTATAATAGAGGTCCAGCCAATGATATAGGGACCCAGGGCAGCATCCTTAGTCACTACGCAATCTAGACATGAAGATCAGGTCTAGAGATGTGAAGGAACCTCAAGATCACAGCAAGGCCAGTGGTCACATGCTCTTGAAACCAAGCTACCAAAGTACCACTGTAGGCTCTTCCTATCTGCTGGCTAGCACCAGGGTGGCTCCCAGAATCTGGGGTTGGATAGAGGATAGACTGGTGTCATTAGAAAGAACTTCCCCAAAGGGTGACAGAGTATCTTGCCTATTTGGGCTGCTGCAATGAAGTACCAAGATTGGGTGGTTATGAACAACACAAATTTCTTTCTATTAGTTCTGGAAGCTAGAAGTCCAGAATCTGTGTTTGATGAGAACTCACTCCCTGCTTCACAGGCAGCACTTTGTCTCATACCTCCATACAATGAAAAGGACAAGGCAGCTCTGTGGGACCTCTTTTGTAAGGGGACTAATTCTAATCAATATTGCTTCACTCTTACCATCTATTCCCTTCCCAACAGCCTCACTTCCTAACACCACACTGGGGATTAGGTTTCAACATATGAATCTGGGGGGACACAAACATTCATAACAAGGAGTAGAGAGCCGTGCCAGGCACAGTGGTGCACACCTGTAATGAGGAAGCAGAGGCAGGGAGAATTTTGAGTTCAAGGCTAGACTGAGCTACCTAGTGAGTTCCAGACCAACCTGAGCTAAAGACTCAGTAGCCAGTAGATGAAGCTGGCTGCCACCAAAGGCAGGGTCTAGGGTACTCTCCATAGGAAAGTCCACAATGGTTTAACAATAGGCTTAATGACAAAAGCACTCTTCTATTGACATGACTCAGTGGTCTTCCAAGCAAGGTCCTTGGTTCAGCAGCAGCCTTGTCTAGGAACCTGTCAGGGATGCAGAATCTTGGGCATACATAGTACTCACAGGAAGACAACCGGTGTCCCTTCCCCTGGCATTAGGCATCTATGCCCTATTGGAAACCCCTCTCTACCCCCAGAGCTGCTAGCTGTGTGAAGCAAGAACTGTCAAATTGGGAAGCCTTCTTGGATCTCCCAGGAAATGAAAGGAGGGGATACTGGCTTTTCAGTCCTCAGTGAAAAGTAAAACCGACCTCAGTTTCCCTGTGTTCCACTTTCCAAACATCTTTCTAGTGCAGGGCTGTTGAAAAGCTAGATGGAAGGGTCCATGTGCTTATGCAGAGATTTCATTTTTCAAAAGCAGGGGCTGGAGAGATGACTCAGCAGGTGAGTGTGCATACTGCTCTTCCAGAGTTCGATTCCCAGTACCCACATCCAGCAGCTCCCAACAGCCTGAACTCTGGCACTGCACTCACATGCACAAACCCACACACATAAACACAAAAAATATAATTAAAATAAATAAAAACATGGGGTGAAGCTGACTTCATGGTATGAACATTTTTATTCTTATGCAAAGACAAATTTGGGCCAAGGGGAGATTTGCATAGGAGAACCCAGGGTATAAACAGTGGCACCTGAGCCTGTGGTTGCTGTGCCTGGAAGAAGGCATCATACAAGGGTAAGGGGAGGAATGGGATGGGGCACTTACTGGCCCCAGGGGGACAAAGGAGACACTTCTTTACCTAGAAATGAATTCTGTAGATACTGAAACCTCCTACATGTGTTTATTAATACATGTGTTTATTAAGTCAGAGTTTATTAAAGGTATTTTAATGTAATTTTAAGCATGAGCGTTGAGAGAGAGAGAGAGGTGCTCAGAAAGACACACACCAAAAACCAGAGCATGGATGTGGGCTTCTCAAAGATGAGTCCAGACTATCTCCCTTTTCAGCAAGCTGCAAAAGGCAGAGACAGTCAAACAGGGAAGAAAGCCTTACAGAACATTCTGGAATTAAAATCTGACAAGTAGAGCTTGAGCTTTGTGTCTGGCCACCAGCGGCCAGACAGAGGAAATGTAGTGTCTGGCTGTTGGCCATTCCTACCCTCTCCCACCAGCAGGATCTCTGGCCCCATCCTGACCCCTGGTGGCTGCCCTTTAGATGAGGCAGGAGCGTTCCCAGGCTCCTCCCTGTTCCAAGAGCTGGGGATAGATAGCTACCTGGACCCAGAACATCTGGAAAGATGGATCCTCACCCTTCTCACAGACCTCAGCTGGGATCCCCAAGAAGTGACAACATATTTCCTGGGGCCCCTTCAAGAGAGTTTGTTTCACTGGAGTCATGGGATGGCTTCTTAGGATAAGCTTGGCAATCCAAAATATGTAAAGAAAGCACTTTTAACATTCCACGACAGCAAAATGTGTATGTATGTGCATGTATGTGTTGCATCAAGGTCAATACAGGTGAGAGTACAGTAACAACAGACTAGCATTCTCATGTACAAGGGAGCATAAATTTATACAACCTTTCTAGAAGTGGTCCTGGACAAATAAAGCCAAAATCTTTAAAAGTGTTTCTATCCTGGGATTCAGGAGTTCTACAGTTAAGGATTCATCTTTGCCCAGCGTGATGGAACACCCCGTCAATTGAAGCACTCAGGAGGTAGAGGCAGGTGGATCTCTATGAGTTCAAGGCTGGCTTGAGTTTCAGAACAACCAGTTCTACATGGTAAGAGCCTGTCTCAAAAAAGAAAAAAAAAAAAAGAATTAACCTTCAAGCTGGAGATGTAGCTCAGTGGCAGAGTACTTGACTAGCATGGACAGTTCTGGGTTTAATCTACAGTTCAAGGATAAATAAATAAATTCTAGAATAAATAAATAAATTCCCTGTCTAGAACTTGTAATGCTAACTACTCTTGCCTTTATTTCTCCTTCACATCTCCTATTCATCAATCAAGGACTTTCTTTTCTCCCTACAGATAAGAGTTATGCAATTTGGGAGTCTTTTAGAGAGACCCACTGAAGTGGTACTCCAATTGCCTCACCATGCGTCCCTGTTCAGCATGGAAGAAGCCAAAGCGGTCTAAGTCCTGATTCCCTATCAGCAATTTGGGTAACCTCTTCAGGGGATGGTGTGATAAGAATGGAAGTAGGAATTGGCTAGGCAGCTAGGGTAAAAAAGACCCCAAAGAAAAGTAGCCAGTTTCTTGGCTAAAAGTCAAAATGTCCTTGGGCCGCTTAGCAACATACTCTGTTCCAAAGGCCAAAAATGTCTAAAGTATTTGGGAGTTTTTATCTAATCCTTAAAAGATTTTAGGGTTACCTCTTCAGGAGAGGGAAAGTTAGAGTAGCCAAAAGCCCGATTAAAAAATAAATCAAGTGCTGTGAGTGGTGGCTCACGTCTTTAATCCCAGCACTCAGGAGGCAGAGTTTTTAAAAGCTAAAAAAAAATACTTCCAATCTTAAATGTTTTCCTGAAGATGTAAATTAAATTCTGTTTTTAATTTTAAAATGACATGAACTTTAAAAAATGTTATCATTTAAAAGAAATGTCTTTCTAGCCGGGCATGGTGGCGCACGCCTGTAGTCCCAGCACTTGGGAGGCAGAGGCAGGCGGATCTCTGTGAGTTCAAGGCCAGCCTGGTCTACATAGTGAGTTCCAGGACAGCTGGGGCTACAGGGAGACCCTGTCTCAAAAAGACAACAACAACAACAACAAAAAAAGAAATGTCTTTCTTACATATAAATTCAATTCCTATAAGTATTTGTCTTTAGTAACATATTAATAATAAGCTTTATTCTTTTTTTTTTTTTTTTTTTTTTTTTTTTTTGTCTTTTTGAGACAGCGTCTTCCTGTAGCCCCAGTTGTCCTGGAACTCACTGTGTAGACCAGGCTGGCCTTGAACTCACAGAGATCCGTCTGCCTCTGGCTGTGCCTCTGCCTGCCAAGTGCTGGGACTACAGGCGTGTGCCACCATGCCCGGCTATAAGCTTTATTCTTTAATAATAAAAGTGCTTATCCTCTTGTAACTGAAGATGTAGCTCAGTGGCACAGTACTTGACTGACATGCACAAGGTTCTGGGTGTGATCTACAGTTTAAGAATAAATAAATAAATATAAATAAATAAATAAATAAATAAATAAATAAATAAATAAATGGCTGGAGAGATGGCTCAGAGGTTAAGAGCACTGGCTGTTCTTGCAGAAGACCAGGGTTCGAATCTCAGCACCCACATGGCGGCTAACAACCGTCCATAACTTCAGTTCCAGGGGATGTGACAGCTTCTTCTATGGCGGCTAAAAACCATCCATAACTCCAGTTCCAGGGGATCCAATGTCCTCTTCTGTCCTCCACAGGCACTGCACAACACAGGTGCACTTACGCACATGCAGGCAATGCACTCACACACATAAGAAAAAAAAAAGAATAAATAAATAAATTCTACTTTGAAGTTGGACTGAGGCAGAAGGAGAACAAGTTCAAAGTCAGCCTGGGCTGCAAAAGGAGATCCTGAAAAGTAGCAAAATGAACCATCAGCAGACTGTTATAACATAGTGTCTGAAATTCAAAGTAAAACCAGGAGAGGAAAAACAAGAGGAGGAAAAAGCCGAAGTACTCACTGACGCCAGTTGGATGATGGGTACATGGACATTCTTTATTTCATTTCGTCTTCTCTGGTGCAAATTTGGAAGTTTCCATGACAGGGTCTGTGAGAAGGCTGAGCAGAGCCTTGGTATGCAAGCCTGAAAACCGAGTTCCATGCCTGAACCTGCAGTGGAAAGACAAAACCAACCCCACAAAAAGGTTCTCTGACCTTCACACATGCTTTGGTACACACACATACACATAAAATCAATACAATTTAAAAAGAATTTTTCATGATAAAACATGTTTAAGAAGGGACTGGAGAGATTACTCGGCAGTTAAGAGCATTTGCTGTTCTTCCAGAGAACCTGGGTTCAATTCCCAGCACCCACATGGTGGCTAACAACCATCTGTAATTCCAGTTCCAGGGGACCCAACACTCTCTCTGGTCTCTGCAGGCACTGCAGGCACATGGTGCATTTACATATATGCAGGCAAAACACTCATACACATAAAAATAAAATAAATAAATAAGGTACAAGATTGCATGTGCAATGCTTAACAAACTGTTAAATAAAAGATACAGCATACAGAATATATAAAAGCACACTGAGGTGTTCATTATGCCAGGAGACTGCGGGAATTTTAATTTTCTTCTTGATATTGTTCTATATTTTCATAATTCTACAAGGGGTGTCTTAATTATTTAACAGGCACCAAATACATTTGTTAACACGTGCTGTGATGGATAATCTTTATGGATAACTTCACAGGATTTAGAGTAACCATGGAAACACACCTCTGTGTCTATGAGAGTGTTTGCAGAAAAGTTTAACTGATGAGAGAATCCTGAAAATGGGCAGCAGCATCCCCTGGACTTGGGTCTTGGAGTAAACACAAAACAGGAAGTGAGCTGAGCAGCGCTCAATCAGTCATGTCTCTGTGCTTCCAGACTCGAGTGAGACATGATCAGCCACCTCACACTCCATCCAATATGCTTTCCCTACTGTGATGGATTATTTCTTCAAACCATGAGCCAGAATAATCCCTTCCTTAAGTTGCTTTGGTCAAATGTTTTTGTCATAGCAATGAGAAAAGTAAGTAATATACGTACTAACTTGGGAGTCTCATATATATTAAGCTCCAAGGGCTGCCACATAATAGGTATGCAACATTGAGCAAATTAATTAACTTCTAGATCTCAGATTCAGTACCTATAAAATTGGAATAATGCCAGGCTAGTTTTCAAGCCACTGTTTACTGGACATTTAACATGCACTGGGAGGACACTAAACTAATGGTTTGCCTCCATATATTTCCATACATACTATTCATACACAATTATTTTAATAAGCTATGGAGTAGGTTATGACATTCCCATTTTAGAGGCAGGCCAAAAGCAGCTTAAAAACATTAGGTAATGTTCTCCGTTTTCTCCATTTTGGAAGTCCAGCTCTTGGCCCCAAGCCTGGACTGCTTAGTTACAGTCTTGGTGTCAGGTCTGGATGAGCTAATGCAGACGAAGTGCCAAGCACAGTACCTGGCTCTAAGCACAGAGCTGTTCCAGCTGACACCAGTTCCTTTTTCTATGACATTTTTACATTTGTAAATTGTGACAAAGTAAGTTCACTTGCTGAAAAATAAAAATAAAAAGTGCCCCTATTCTGAGAGGACTATAGTGACTGTTAAGGGACAATCCAGAAAGGAGCTAGGTTAGCTCCCTCAGGAAACTATGGGGGTGGGTAGGAACTGTGTGTCATATACCCTCCAAGGTTTCTTCAGGACGTCACCAAATCCTGCACCTTAATTTGCAGCTCAGTATAAGTACAGTCACTCTATCAGCAAAGCGTTGTGCCCCAGCTTCCACTTCCGCTGCCACCTGTTCTCCATCAGAAAAGGGGACAGGCAGTGTCAGAGGAGGAGTTCACTGGCAGTCTGAGTTTCTAAGGTAATAAGACCAAGGTCTGAGTCAGAAATAGTGCACGTGCTTTTAATTCCAGGACTGAGGGGCTGAGGCAGTGAGATGGAGCCCAAATCTGAGGCCAGTCTGGGCTGCAGAACAGGACCTGTAGAGAGGGTGGGCGGAGAAGGGGCAAAGAGGTAGGAATGGAAAGAAGGGGAAGGGAGGGAAAGGAAGGGAATAAAGGAAGGAAAAGCAAAGAAAACGCCATAGACAAATCCCCGGATTTGATCCCTAGCATTGAAAATTAAAAAATAGGGCACAGGTCTCCCAGGCCCACAGACTGATTTTTCTTATTTTCCCCTTTTCTTAGGGAAAAGAGAAATCTTAGGACCAAGACACTGTGTGGAGAAAGAAAAGATGAATATCCAGGGGTAAGGAATGCAGCTGTACCTACCCCGGAACCCCCTTGAGGGTCCACTTTAAATTCCTTTCTCCTGGGGGAGCCAGCCTGAATTAAGTTCCATGCCTATGCCCTATTCCCATCCTATGCACATCATGGCGCTCATTAGGCTAGACTTGCTTGAAAGTTGTCTTCTCTACTAAATGGGAAAGTCTACAGTGCTTTAGCTCCTAAGTATATGCCTGGTACACAGAAAATGTATGGATGTTTACTGAGAAATGAATGAATGGATGAACTCTCCACCAACAGTCATGAGTTCCCTGTTTTGTCATTTTTTGTTTTCATTTTTGTTTTTAGTGCTGCAAGTTGAACTCAGGGCCTTGCACACCCAAGACATGTGCTCTACCACTAAGCCACACACCCAGTACTTGATAGGTGCCCCATTTTGTGCCAAATACTTAAAGGATGTGGTCTCTGCTGGGTAGTGTGACAAATGCCTGTAATCCCAGCACTCAGAAGGCTGAGACAGGAGGATAATAAGTTCTGCCGGCCTAGGCTACCTCATGAGAGGCTTAAGCTTTAAACTTTTAGAGAAACACAATGTGGACTAGGGGAATGGCTCAGCAGATAAAAGTCCTTGTCATGCAAGCCTGATACCCTGAGTTCAAATCCCAGAACCCATGTAAATGCCAGATGCAGTGGCACATCAGTAATCCCGGCACTCCTAAAGGCAAGATGGGAGTTGGAGACAGGAACTGGAAGTTCTGGTCAGCTAGCCTAGCGTATGCAGAGACAAGAAGAGAGACTCAGTCTCAACAAGGTGGAAGCAAGAACCCATTCCAGAAAGAAAGAGAGAAAGAAAGGGAGAGGGAAAGAGGAAAAGAGGGGAAGACAGAGAGGAAGGAAAACACAGTGTAAGAGGAATCCCTGTTTATTCCAATCTTCATGCTATTTTACCAAAGTACTCAAAATGTAGCCCTTGACTTTAGGGGAAGCTCCTGAGCACATGAAATCCTGGGTGGAATTACAGGGCTCAAATGATCTGAAGCTAGCCCTAGCTCAGTGGTAAAGCACGTGATTTATCCAAGACCCCAGGTTCAATTCCCAGCACCAAGAAAACTCTAAAGTCTAGTGTTCTGGTTATTCCAACTTTAATGTGTGGTCTCTGGTGAGTGATTTCCCCTTCTGGGCCTTAATTCTCTTCTCTATAAACCAGGAGAGGGGCTGAGGGATGGGCAGCAGGCGACCATGCCTTGTGCAAAAGTAAAAATAATTTAATGCCTTGACTATTTGGCCTGTTGTGTGTAATTGGACAGGGTCTCCTTCCCAAATGCTTAGGGAGGCAATCTGGGGAAGCTGAGGAGGGAGGAAGAAGTGTGTACCTGCTTCTGTCAGTACCAATATGGTCTGGTTGTGCTGCCCCTCTGGTGAGTGGACAGTGATAAAGGGTGATGGCTGAAGGGGACCTTGCCACAGTGAAGGCCTGCCCAAGCATACCTATGTGTCTTTGCTTCTTCTACACTGCAAAACAGAAGACTCCAAAGCCACAAGATCTTCATGGTTTCATCAAACTGGATTCCACCGGCCCCCCCATTAAAAAATGGATACCTCTTCCGAGGGACAACCCAAAGAGAAGCAGTTAATGAAGATGGAGGACAGTGAGCATTAGTGGGGTTCCTGGCAGAACCCCATTCCAAGCTTCCTCCAAAACTGCAAGAACGTGGGTCCTCCTCCAGCGCTGTCTCAGGGAGGACACTGGGCTGAATGGATAGAGGTGTGTGTGCCCAAATGCCTCCAGGCTTTGGACCAAGCTGCTGGCAGGTTCATCCCTCTCCCCAGAGCCCTCACAAACACCACTTCCGGCCCTCCTGCCTCAATTTGGGCTCTTCCTGCCTGAATTTCTATTCCCACGCCTGCCCTTTCCTCTGCAGAGCTCTCTCCCTCCCATGACAACCCTTATTTCGCTCTCTTCGGTTCCATGTCTGTTCCCCTCCTTCTCCCCACCTAGCTATCCCTCACCAGCCCTGGAATAGGTCTCCCTCGCTGTCTCCCAGGCCGGGTGTAGCTCTCTCCGCCTTAGCTCTCGCCCCTGCACCTCTTTCTTTGTATTCCTCTAGTCCTCCCGGCCTCCCCAGCATCTCTCCTCCCCCGCCTGGCTCTGGCCTCCCCCTGCCTCCTCATCTTAAGCTCAGACTCCTCCCCCTAGCTCCTCTCCCCTTCCCATCCCTTCGCCTCACTCCACTCCCTGCCTGCATGCCAGGGTTTCTTTCCACTGTGGGGGTCTCTGAGCCTCTCATTCTCCTCTCCACCTGCCTCCTTCACCCCAGGGTTAGCGAGCACCCCCTTTTTCTGACCAGGCATCTTCTCACCACCCCCACCATCGCCACTGACTCTCCTCCCCATCTCCTCTTCTCCTTCTCTGCCCCTTTAAATCTGCCTGGCCCAGCCTCCCCCGTGATGCTGGGTTTGGAGCAAACATTGATTTGTGCTGGGATGGAATCGGAATTTTGATTTTTTTTTTTCCTCTCCCAACCATAAGAAGAAAAAAATAATAAAAACACCCCCTCTTGATAGCCCCCTCCCCTTTCCCATCCAGCTCCCAGATCCTCTTCGCTATCTCCGTTCAAGGCAGATTTCCCCCCTACACTATTCTCATCTCTCCTCACCCTAGCCACTGCCTCACTCCTCACACTAGCCGGCACCTTCAGCTGGAGAGGGGACTCTCCCATAGCTCCCCCACCTTCCTTCCCTGGGTTGTAGCAGTCTCTCCGGAAGGGGAGGGGGCTTGTCTTGTCCTGGGTAAGGTGTGAGTGGAGGGATCCTGCCATGGATGCTGCGCCCGGGAGGCAGCCTGAGCCCCAGCCCACAGGGTGAGTAACCTGCCCCCTCCCTTTCGCCCGTCTGCCCATCCCCACCCTCGCTTTTCCCCCACTGAGCTTCCCCCGTCCCCATTCTACCATCGGCCCACCTGGGCCGGGTCTTCCATCTACATTTTTACCTCCCGCCTCCCCCCTCCCCATCCCCGGTTTGCTAGCGAAGCCAAAAAATAGAGGCAGAGAGGTCCAAATAGCCAAAAGACCCTGCCCACCCCCCGCCCAGGACCACCCCCCCACACCGCCAGAACTACCATCCACGTTCCACACTCTGGGGTTCTAGATTGGAGGAGAAGGACTCAGGCTTAGGGTTGGGGCCCCAAGTCCCTGGAGGCGCCCTCTGCAAGTTGGGAGGGATAGGAAAGCCCCCGTGCCCCCCAACGCTTGGGAGCTGCTCGAGGAGCGGTGGGGGCAGGGAGGGCTGGAGGGCGGTGCTGATGCCCCTGAGCCACCCGGCCTGGGAGCAGCCGGCAAAGAGGAGGGACCTCGCTCTCCACTAGCCTCGCTCTCCACTTGCTCCCCTCTTTCTCCACAGCCACTCAGGATGAGGGTCCGGCCCTGCCTGCCCGCGCTGGGGCCCCTCCGCCCAGGCCCTGTTTAACCTCCCCCGCCCCCAGGCCTCGCCCGGCCCCCAGGCCCCCAGCAGGCTCTCCAGCCCCAGGATGCGCTGAGCCGCCAGGGGGCTGAGGCCACGCCAACTACATGCATGTCCCCCGGGGGCAAGTTCGACTTTGACGACGGGGGCTGCTACGTGGGGGGCTGGGAGGCGGGGCGGGCACATGGCTACGGCGTGTGCACCGGGCCCGGCGCCCAGGGCGAGTACAGCGGCTGCTGGGCGCACGGCTTCGAGTCGCTGGGTGTCTTCACGGGGCCCGGCGGACACAGCTACCAGGGCCACTGGCAGCAGGGCAAACGCGAAGGGCTGGGCGTGGAGCGCAAGAGCCGCTGGACGTACCGCGGCGAGTGGCTGGGCGGGCTGAAGGGGCGCAGCGGCGTGTGGGAGAGCGTGTCCGGCCTGCGCTACGCCGGGCTCTGGAAGGACGGCTTCCAGGACGGCTACGGCACCGAGACCTACTCCGACGGAGGTGCGGGGCCCGGCCCACCCCTGACTGCCTGTCGGCGTGCGCCTCCCGCCGGCCTGAGGCGCGCGTGCCTTCCCCAGCCTTACGCCCTCCACGCCCTGCTGTTCCCATCTTCCTTCCCCAGCCTTGAGCGTACGGTGCGCCCAGCCTTCTGTTTCCAGTGTTCCCCACCCAGTGACCCCAACCCCCCATCTTCCTGCCTCTCCCGCCACCAACCACCATACTTAGAGCTTCACTAGATTGTCTCTTGCCTGCTTCCGCCTCATTCCAGTCTGCCTACCCCTCCCACCTGCCCTTTCCACCTGCTTGACCCCCAGCATGCATCTTCTCCGCTCATTTAGTTCCTCAGTCAGCTTGCACCCCACCGTCCTGTTTGCCTGTCCCGAGCCTTTTTCACAAATCACCACCTGTCAGCCCACCCATCATCCTCCGTACACTCCAGCCAGCCTGGCCCTCTCCCTTTCCCCAATCCACCCACACTGCCAAAATCGACGTCTCTCCTGCTCCCTGCCTGACTTGATTCTGCTGTTGCACACCTTCCAACACCGCCTGGCTTGTCACTTCCCAAGCCCCACGCTAACTGCTATCACCTCTCTCACCTGTCACTTGAGCTTCCATGGGTTTGGGGGGCTCTGACTGCCGGGTTTGGGGCCCAGGGAAGGGTTCTGACTATCCTACTCCATCCGCAGGCACCTACCAAGGTCAGTGGCAGGCGGGGAAGCGCCACGGCTACGGGGTGCGTCAGAGTGTCCCCTACCACCAGGCGGCGCTTCTGCGCTCACCCCGCCGCACCTCCCTGGACTCGGGCCATAGCGACCCCCCGACGCCGCCTCCGCCTTTACCCCTGCCCGGAGACGAAGGAGGCAGCCCAGCCTCGGGGTCCCGAGGCGGCTTCGTGCTGGCGGGGCCTGGGGACGCCGACGGGGCGACCTCGCGTAAGCGCACCCCAGCAGCAGGTGGATTCTTCCGCCGGTCACTGCTGCTCAGCGGGCTCCGGGCTGGTGGGCGCCGCAGTTCCCTGGGCAGCAAGAGGGGATCCCTACGCAGCGAGGTGAGCAGCGAAGTGGGCAGCACAGGACCCCCGGGCTCCGAGGCTAGCGGACCTCCCATCCCAGCACCGCCTGCCCTCATCGAGGGCTCAGCTACTGAGGTGTACGCGGGCGAGTGGCGTGCAGACCGGCGCAGCGGCTATGGAGTGAGCCAGCGCTCCAACGGGCTGCGCTACGAGGGCGAGTGGCTGGGCAACCGACGGCACGGCTACGGGCGCACCACCCGGCCCGACGGCTCCCGTGAGGAGGGCAAGTACAAGCGCAACCGGCTGGTGCACGGGGGACGTGTCCGCAGCCTCCTGCCTCTGGCCCTTAGACGGGGCAAAGTCAAGGAGAAGGTGGACAGGGCTGTCGAGGGTGCTCGTCGAGCTGTGAGTGCTGCCCGCCAGCGCCAGGAAATCGCCGCTGCCAGGTGGGCATCTGATGCATAATCAGAGCTGGGCTAAAAGGAGAGGTTGTTCTGAGTGTGAGGTTCAAGGGAGAACCAAGACTCAAGGCCTACAGCCTGGTGGGGAAGCATGGGCAGGCCTAAATCCAGGCAGTTGTAGCCCTCAGGTTTGGGGTGTTTGTATCTGAGGCTATAGGTGGATGTGGGTGTAACTGTGGGTGGCTGGGTATTGGAGGGAGGTGGGGTAAGACTGTCTCAGTGTACTGTGTGGAGATGTATGGGTGCCTATGGAATCCACGGTGTGTGGGTATAGCAGTGAATGTTTCTTTGTGCAAGCCCAGAAACCACTTGCAACTCAAACCCAGGTCTCTAGTCTTCCTCCTCCTGCAGCTCAGGGGGTCTTCTGGCCTTAGGCTGGAAGCATCAGGTTCTGGCAGAACACTGAATAGTTCCTTCCTTGATGGTTTCCAGTCTGACATCATTTCAGTCTTAGCCCTTGAGGAAGTCTAGATTTTACAGCTGCAAAGCTATTGCCTTCTCTCCCTCCTTTAACTCAAGTGGTGCAGGTTTGAAGGGAGGGTCTCACCTCTAAATGAGATTTTATTTCAGTGAATCAGATTACATTTCCATGCATCAGAACCTTGCTATCTAAGGTATTGATGTCCAATAAGAATATAATGTAAGCCAAACCTGTAACCTTAAATCTCCTAATAGCCACATTAAAAAATGAAAAGGAGCCAGGCATGGTGACACACACCTTTAATCCCAGCACTCTGAGGCAGAGGCAGGTGGATGTCTGTACATTTGAGTGAGGTCAGCCTCATCTACCTAGTGAGTTCCAGGCCAGCCACGGCTACATAATAAGACCCAATCTCAAAGGGAAAGGGAACGGGAAGGGGAAGGGAGGGGAGGGAAGGGGAGGAAGGGAAGGAAGGGAAGGAAGGAGGGGAGGGAAGGGAAGGGAAGGGGGAAGGGGAGGGGAGGGAAGGGGAAATGAATTCATTAAAATGAATTTTAATAATATATTTGTACTTAAACCAATACTTCTAAAATTCTATCAACTAACAATATAATAATTTACATTCCTTCTGGAATATTTGGAATGTAGTGTATATATTTCACTTCTATTCAGACCAGCGACATTTCAAGTGCTAAATAGTTACTACAGCTTCTATTGAATTAGATATCACAGAACTAATGACAACCAAAATTCCATTTGTAATGGAATTTTTATATATTGTATTCTCTTTTAGAAGAGATGAGGACATAGTTGAAGGATGCTTCAGAGGTCCAGAGATCAGGAGATGTCCAAATATGCATCAATATATTTGTATAATGGGTGGCCAGTTGCTGCTTGTGTGCACGTGTGTATGACTGAGTATGAACATGTCAAATTCTGTGTCGATGACCGAGCCAGAGTATGTGCATCTGTAAATACATCCAAGTGTATGGATATTAGAATGTAGGGCCTTAAGCCAGGGAAGGGGGAGGGCAGAGCACCATGGAACATTTTGGGCTAGATAGGGTGGAGGCATGTGCAAGAAAAAACTGATCTTACTAACTAGAAGATCAGGCAGTGGGAGGAGGCTGGCTGGTCTCCCCAGCAACAGGCCTAGTAACTCCGATTGGCTGCTGGCTACCATGGAAACAAGAGAGCCTCAGCAGCAGGTGCATTTGCCAGGTAGCTTGAGTCTAGCTTGATGCCTGAGCACAGACTAAGTCTAATGCCTAGGCTGGATAATCCACACCTTCTATGTACAAAACCACAGGTTGTTGTCACTTATGTGGCCATCAGTAGAATCCACTGCAACCCAAGAGGAATCCTCATACCTGCTCAGAACCCTGAAATCAGCTCAATTTCAGGACGGGGCTAGTCATCAACAGTCTGAAAGCCCTGAGTACCACAGGGTTATGTCAAGTCCTTCCAAGTAGACTCGAAAGCCCTTTACCCGCCAGGTTTGAAGGAAGGAAACTAACCATATCCCAAGGTACATAATAGGTCCACCAAAGACAATAGCAGACACCACTAACCCCCAACCTCAGACTGCCTTTCCAAGATAGATAAAACAGGCTGTGACCAGAAAGAGTCACAGGTGTCGATCCATTCAGAAACATGGCAAGTACATCTGTATTTCTGCTCATTTGTTCTTCACCTAAGTCAGGATTCACAGAAGCAATTTAATGATTCAAAACCACCTGACAGCAGAGGGTGAAAGGGAAAGGAAGTTATTAAGAAAGCATCTGAAAACAAAGGGAGAACTAAGAAGCAATGGGCAAGGGAAGGGTTAGTAATACCTGAAAGTGATCTGCGTATAAGAAGCAGGCCAGGATAGCAAGGGGGCAGAGGATAGGCTAAGGATTGACGCAGAAGGTGTAGCTGCAGAAATGAGAGAACATGCACACTGGCAGAGAAAGGGAATTGTTGCTTAGAGAGAAACCGTCCAGTTCTCAGATGAGCGTAATGGCACGTGTCTTTAATCCCAGCACTTGGGAGGTGGAGGCAAAAGGAAGAGTTCAAGGCCAATCTCTGCTACATATCAAGTTTGAGGCCAGTCTGGTTTACAGGAGTCTGGTTGGAGGGAGGGAGGGAGGAAGGAGGGAGGGGAGAGAGATTTTATAATCCAGTTCTAGAGCTCAGAAAAGCAGGGGGGGGTGGCAGTGCCAGGAACAGAGAACAGTGTGATTACGGAAGAGGCCAAACAAAAGCAAGATGGAAATTTTTCATGCTAGGAATCTACTGGAAGAGGGCTTGCAGTGGAAAGAGGAAAAGAAGAAGTGGTGCTGGAACAGGGTGTGGGGAGAGGTGATGCTGCTAGGAGGGCAAGATGAAGGTACTGGGCAGTGCTTTATACCCCAGAGGGAGGTCTTTGACCCCAGGGGGCATGAGGGGTTGGTTGGTAATAAGCAGACATACTGCTGGGCATGGTGGCACACTTGGGAGGCAGAAGCAGGTGGATCTCTGTGAGTTCAAGGCTACCCTGGTCTACATAGCAAGTTCCAGGCCAGCCAGGACTATATAGTGAGACCCTGTCTCACAAAAAAACAAAAACAAGAAGCAGAGGTACTGACACTCAGAGGTACTTTGTAAGCAGGTAGGAGACATAGTAAGTATCAACACAACTGTGGAGGATCTGCTAAGGCTCATTTGTCACTAGGCAAGGAGCAGGACAGCAACGGAATAACATTGGGAGGGGAGGCTGGCCCCTGCAGCTGGAAGTGTTACTACAGGACATAGGGGTAGAAGGGTGAGAAGAGCAGAAGGGTGTGATGACAGCCCAAGACTAGGAGAGGGAACTGGCTGGTAGCTGACTGGCTGGTAGCTGCCCTGGCCTGTTCAGCAAAGAGAGCAGTCTGCAGTGTGAGAGAAGTAGCTCAGGTCAAGAGAATGTGCTATGCTGGGGACACGGTGAGGGGCTGGAGCATCAAAGCAGGGCTTTTGAAGTGGAGGAAGGTCAGCCAAGTCCCTGTCCCTGGGACCCAACAGGGCAGCAGACGCCCTCCTAAAGGCAGTGGCAGCCAGCAGCGTCGCCGAGAAGGCTGTGGAGGCAGGACGGATGGCCAAACTGATAGCCCAGGACCTACAACCCATGCTAGAGGCCCCAGGTGAGGTGTGGACAGCCTGGGAGAGGGGAGGGGGTGCCCTGGGAAGCTGGAGAGACTTGTGTGGGGAAAAGGAGTGGGAAACCTACGGGGGATTTGGGGTGGAAAAAGCTAAGATCTGAAGGGATGGAGGGTTGGGGCCGAGCAGGCCCTGTTGTCTGGGAAGTGGACCTGGGAATGTATGAGGCAGAGTAATGGAAGGTTTGGGGCCTGGTGATGAGAAGGTCTGAGCCTGGACATAGCCAAAATCCCGGGGAGTGCCAAAGGGGAAAGAAAGCAGCAGCCTCTCTGTCTCAGGCCCAGTTAGGCCCCACTTATTCCTCACTGTTCCTGTCTAGGCCGCAGACCCAGACAGGACTCAGAAGGTTCTGACACAGAGCCTTTGGATGAGGACAGCCCTGGAGTATACGAGAATGGACTGACTCCCTCAGAGGGCTCCCCGGAACTGCCCAGCAGTCCTGCCTCCTCCCACCAACCCTGGCGACCCTCTGCCTGCCGGAGCCCACTGCCTCCTGGAAGGGACTGGGGTCCCTTCTCCAGCCCCAAAGTTTGGCCCAAGGAGTGGGGGGGCCCAGGTGGGCAGGCTGAAGAACTAGCTGGCTATGAGGCCGAAGATGAGGCTGGGATGCAGGGGCCAGGGCCCAGGGACGGTTCCCCACTTCTTGGAGGCTGCAGCGACAGTTCAGGAAGTCTTCGTGAGGAGGAGGGAGAAGATGAAGAGTCCTTGCCGCAACTGAGGGCCCCAGGAGGCTCAGAGTCTGAGCCTGTCACCACACCGGTTTTGAGGGGCCTGTCCTCAAGGGGTCCTGATGCTGGGTGCCTGACGGAGGAGTTTGAGGAGCCTGCTGCCACCGAGAGGCCTGCCCAGCCGGTGAGACACTTGCCTGTCCCCACTCTGTGCCCTCTTCTTTTCAAAAGCCTTGCCTCCCACTCCTTACAGACCTCTGTATAATCCCCCCTGAGATGCTTTGGTTTCTACTCAGCTTCCTTTCTTCAGGGCCAGTCTTGGACCCTATCCCCCTTTTTAAAAAAAAAAAAAAAAAAAGACAACTTTTCAGGCTGGAAGGAACCCTGGAGAGCTTCAGGTCCGACTCTCTCATGTGACAGATGAGGAAACTGAGACCCAGAGCATTGGAAGTAACTTGTAGTTTGCCCTAATACCTAATGGTAGAACCAGGACGTTTTTTTCCTGTTCCCCTTCCATATCATTTCCAGCTCCGGTTTCCTACCCCACTCCCACCCCCACCTCCACACTTTCTCTCTTTGGTGCCCAGAAATAAAAAAGGGAAAAAAAAAATTGTTCCCTCCCTACCCTCACCCTCCCTCCCTCCTTCTCCTGGGAAAAAGGGAAAGAGGAAAAAAAAAAAAAAAAAAAAAAAACAAAAAAAAGAAAGCCCAGAACCCTCTGCTCTGATTGGATTCCAGGCCTTCTCCCATCTCCTAGCAACCACATCCTCCCTCACCCCTTCCTCTGCCTTACCGCAGTACTGGCTGCTGCTGCCAATGTCTGCTGCTAAGGCCAGGCACCTTCTGCCTGGCCCACATGATATGCTGGGATGGGGGAGGGGGAGCGCTGTCCCTGTCTTCAGAGTGTGAGCCCGAAGGCAGGTCCCTGCCTGGGAGGAGAGAGATGCTTTGCAATCTGAATCAAAGGCTATCAGTCCTGCTCTGGCCTGCACGGGAGGTGTCTGGCACCCTTCAGCTTTGCACTGAAGCCAGGGTAGGAAGTGGGATCTAACACCGGGCTTGGGCTTCAAAGACTGAGCCTGCTTCACTCTCTGTCTCTCTAGGGAGCTGCCAACCCCCTGGTGGTGGGAGCCGTGGCCTTGCTGGACCTCAGCCTGGCGTTCCTGTTCTCCCAGCTCCTCACCTGAGGGCGACATCCCTGCCTCCTTCTGGCTTCGGTTGCCTGACTCTCCACCTGCCTTTATCTCTTTCCTCCTCGTTGTGTTTCTATCTTTCCTTCTTCCTTTCTTTTCGTTGCCCCTTTATTTTTGACTCTTGCTTTTTCCCTTCCCTCTCTTCTTTCAGATGATCTCATTTATTCTGGGTTCGTCTCTGGTCTTGTTCCTTTCCCTCCCCAACCCCTTCTTTCTCTAGATTGTTTACATATGAAGGGCTTTTCTCTCTCAGAGTTGCTCTCTGCTCTGAGCCACACAAATCTAAGTCAGATCATTGCCCCCAAATCCCCCCTACCTTTTCCTAAACCCAGACTTCACCAAGGGTGGGGGGTTTGGTGTCCTGAGGAGTCTTCTGGAAGGTGAGTGGAGGGGAAAAAGTAGATGGAGAAGGGGTGACTGAATGCCATACTAGCTGAGCCACTGGGGCTTCCTGGCCCAAATGGAAAGCTGCGGGAGGAGTCACCTCTGAAAGCCCAGATAAGGATCTTGCCTAACTTAATCCTTCCCAGGGCCAGACCAGGGACGTAGACGGCAGAGTTAACTTCCTAGACCCTCCCTCTTTCTCTCCTCATCAGCCAGCCCCTCTTCCAACCCCCAAAGATGGCATGCCATGCCAAGCACAATGTGTAAAAGAAAAAAAAAAATCTATCTGGTGCACCAAACCCACCCTCTCAAGACTTTACCACCAACCTCTCTACCCTGCTGTGCCCCCTAAAAGTTTATTTGCTTGATCTGGACTCACTTGTGGCCTTTGATTCAATTCCTAAGGGGCCTGAAGAAGACACTTGTGCAGCAGGTTAGAGGCACTGGAGCAAGGACTCCACTCCTCAGCTCTGGTGGTTGAAGGGAGCACAACCAGATTCCATCTAGGGGAGCCTAGTGAGAGGAGAAGAGCTCAAAGGCAGCATAAGCTGTCACAGTCTAGTAGTTTCCACGTGGGTTCTGTGTCTTCCCCCATCACATCAGAATCTTGTGACACGGTAAAGTAAGAGGGGACAGGAGAAGCAAACGTCTCCCACATCCCAGGCAGGGCAGAGGTGGGCATCAAACCCAGGTGAGAGGTGGATGAAGAGCCCTGTTTGAAGATATGGCTGATCCCTGGTTCTAGCTTTTCCTCTGGGGGCAGAAAGCTCTACAAAAGGGGACTGTAGAGTCCCCAGGGGAACTCCTTCCCTGCATGAGGCAAAGGCAAGCTGCCTGCCAACCTTCTTCCCTCAAGGAATGGCCTTGCCCACCACACACACTCTTCTTTTTTTCTAGTCAATGACTTCTGTTTACTCCTTGGCCTGCTTCCCTCCTCTCCTCCCCTCTCCACCTTTACTTCTGATTTCTATTTCATGGAATTTGGGATTGAAGTTATACAACAGTGCCGCCAACACAAGTCTTGCAGGAAAAAAAAAAAAAAAAAAAAAAAAAAAAAAAAAAAATTAA